ACACACACACACACACACACACACACACACACACACACACACACACATAAACGTTAAATGTATACATATATTAACTTTTTTTTTCTATTCTTCAGTTTCGTATGGAAAAAATTGGACAATATGTCCACTTTGTCATTTACTATTCAATAGAATATTTGTGAGATCTCTCATTTTATTTATGTACAGTAATTAATTTTTTAATTATTTCATAATATACTGATTTATACTAGTATAGGTTGACATTTGTGTTGTTTCAGTTTGGAGCAATGATGAGTTTTGCTACTACATGTTTGCCTTTCTGAAGAATTATTGGGCGTGCCGTGCAGTCTTCCAAAATGGTGGTACCAACTTAGCATCCATCAGCATTTCCAGTTGCTATGCATTCCTGCCAACACTTAGGCTTTTTCTCTCTTTTATGTTTTTTTTTTAATTCATATTTTTGCCTCTTGACATTTGAAGTTAAGAACCATCTTGTCAATTTGAACAAAATAGCATACTGATATTTTAGTTGGAAATCATTGAATTTTTAGATTAATGTGGATAAACTCTAGCTTTAAAACTCAAAAATCAGTCCATGAACACTCTTTATCTTTATCATTACTTTGACCTTCTTTAATTTCTTTCATAACTTTTGTATGAATATTTTGCCTACATTTACAAGTATTATGTGATTTGTTGCTATTATAAATAACATATTTAAGTTCACTTTTAATTGTTTATAGCTAGATTCATATATATGTATATATATTTAATTTTTAAACAGATATTTTATTTAGAACCCTGTTAATGTAACGATTTTCGTACTATAGTGTTAGATTGTTTTTAGACTTTAAAAACCATGTTGCTTTCAAATAAAAGTAAGTTTGATTGTTTTCCTTTACAGTCAATGTGTATTTAGCATCCTTTGTATCTGTTGATCTCGTTTCATTACAATTGTCAAGACCTCTGATATAGTATAGAATATATATGACACTAAGGCTATCTTTGTCTTAGTTTTAATCCCAAAGGGATAATGTACAATGCTTTTCTATCAAGTTCAGAGTAACTTACTTAGTATAAATCTCCCTTCAGTTTTCTATGTATTAGAAATAAAGACCTAAAACAAGACAACAATGTATTGATTTTCATAAGTAATTTCTTTTACTTAATTGTATTAGCTTGCTTTTTATTGCCATGATAAAACATTGACCAACATCAACTTGAGGAGGATATATTTGAGTTTGGTTTAGACTTCCTTGTCACAGTCCTTTATTGAGAGGAAAATCAGGTCATGAACCCAGGGCAGAAACCTGGAGACAGGAACTGAAGCAGAGATCATAGAGGAATGCAGTATAGTGGCATTTTTTTGATACCACCTAGGGCCACCTGCCCATGGGTAGAACTGCCCACAGTGGGCTGAGCCCTCCCACATCTATCATTAATCAAAAAAAAAAAAAATTCCTCGCAGACATGTCCACAGGCCTATTTGATGAAAGCAATTTCTCAATAGCACTTCTCTCTCCCTAGGTGGTTCTAGTTTATGTCAAGTTGACAAATAACCAGCATACTTACTAAGATGATCATATGGTACAGAGGATTCTTGTATGTCAGCAGGAAAGCTCAATTGGTTATGATGCTTTTTTTTTTCAGACGTTACTGAATTTGGTTTGCTATCTCTGTGTTGGCTGTTGAATGTCTGTCTTGTGTAGGTAGAGCAGCGCAAGACATACAAGAGCATATCTTCTATAGTTAAAGCTGTGTAAACATACAAGTGTGTATCATCTGTAGTTAAGGCTGTACAAGGCATACAGTGTGTAGTTAAAGATCATAAATAAGGTTCCCATGCTCTTCTTTAAGTGCTCAGAAGAATTCGGGGGCAACAGTTTTATCTGTAGAAAGAGTTTAAATTAGAGGTAATTATGTCGTAGATGCAGATATGATCAGGATCCCTATTTGTTTCTATTATC